ACAAATCCAAAAGAATGAAAAATTAGAAAACAATGTGAAATATTTCATTGGAAAAACAACTGACCTGGAAAATAGATCCAGGAGAGAGAATTTTAAAATTATTGTATTATCTGAAAGCCATGATCAAAAAAAGAGCCTAGACATCATCTTTCAAGAAATGATCCAGGAAAACTGTCCTGATATTTCAGAACCAGAGGGCAAAATAGAAATGGAAAGAATCCACCAATCTCCTCCTGAAAGAGATCCCCGAAGGAAAACTCCTAGGAATATTGTAGCCAAATTCCAGAGTTCCCAGGTCAAGGAGAAAATATTACAAGCAGCCAGAAAGAAACAATTCAAGTATTGTGGAAACACAATCAGGGTAACACAAGATTTAGCTGCTTCTACATTAAGGGACCACAGGGCATGGAATATAATATTCCGGAGAGCAAAGGAGATAGGACTACAACCAAGAATCACCTACCCAGCAAAACTGAGTATAATCCTGCAGGGGAAAAAATGGTCATTAAGTGAAACAGAGGACTTTCAAGCATTCTTGATGAAAAGACCAGAGTTGAATAGAAAATTTGATTTTCAAATACAAGACTCGAGTGGAACATGAAGAGATAAACAGGAAAGAGAAAATCACAAGAGACTTATTAAGGTTGAACTGTTTACATTCCTGCATGGAAAGATGATATTTGTAACTCATGAGACCTTTGTCAGTATTAAGGTAGTTGGAGGGTAAAAAATTATATGTACATATATATAGATATAGATAGATAGATAGAGGGCACAGGGTGAGTTGAAAATGAAGGGGTAATATCTGAAGAATAAAATTAAGGGGTGAGAGAGGAATAATCTAGGAGAAGGAGAAAGGGAGAGATATGACAGGGTAAATTATCCCACAAAAAAAAAAAACAGAAAAGAAAATGCTTTTACAGTGGAGGGGAAACAGGGGAAGGTGAGAGGGAATGAGTGAATCTTATTCTCATAGGATTTGACTTAAGGAGGGAATAACATACACACTCAGTTGGGTGTGGAAATCTGTCTTACCCTACAAGAAAATAGGGGGGGGAAGGGTACAAGAGAGTAGGGGAATGATAGAGAGGAGGGCAGATTGGGAAAGGGAGTAATCACAAGCAAATACTTCTGAGGAGGGTCAGGGTCAAAAGAAAGAATAGAATAAATGGGTGGGTGGGATAGGATTAAGGGAAATAGTTTTTCACGGCATGTCTACTATGGAAGTGTTTTGCATAACTGCACATATATAACCTATATTTAGTTGCTTGCCTTATCAATGAGAGTGGGTGGGGAGGGAGGATGGGAGAAAATTTGGAACCCAAAGTTTTAAAAATACATGTTTAAAAAAATGTTTTCACATGCAACTGGGAAATAAGAAATATAGGAAATGAGGTACAGAAATCCATCCTGCCCTATAGGAAAATTGAAGGGGAAGGGGATAAGAGAAGCAGGGGCAAGATAAGGGAAGGCAGGCTAGGGGAAAGGGTATTTAGAATGCATGCCATCTTGGGGTGGGGGGAGGGGTGAGATGGGGTGAAAATTTGGAACTCAAAATCTTGTGAAAGTAAATGTTGAAAACAAAAAAATTAATAAAAATTACCATTAAGGAAAAAAAAAAAGAAAGTCTCCTAGAAAACTGAGAGGTTAAGTGACTTGCCCAGGGTCACACAGTCAGTACATATTGGAGGCAAGATTTGAACCCAGGTGTCTCTGGCTCTATGGCCAGATGCATGATCTGTGCAGATCTATGCATGATAATTAAGCTGTCTTTAAAAAAAAAAAAAAGGAGCTGATTTCCCACTTCATATTGGGACAGGATTTTTTATATTCAAGTGTAAAGTTATGACTGTACCCTCAAAATATAGTGAATAGCCAAATACCACCTTCTTTGTATACACATGGCTCCATATCCACCCACAGTCAAGGGTAGCATCAAATCTAGAAAGCCTCTTATCGAGGAAGGCAGAAAGGACTGACATCTACAGATGGAGAAATGGAAGGCCCTCCAAAAGCCAGCAGACTCCCCCAGATTCCCCCCAAACCATGATATCAACCTAGAAACATAACTCATAATTCCTAATTCATCTCTTTTATTTTACATGATGACTACACTGTTCTATCACAAAATCACAGGCCAGCAGAGAAGAGCCCTGGAGGTCATCTAGTCAAGGGTTTCTTAACCTGGGGTCCATGGAGTTGTTTTTAAAAAGATTTTGAGGGGTAGCTGGGTGGTGCAATGGATAGAGCTCCGGCCTTGGAGTCAGGAGGACCTGAGTTCAGATCTGGCTTCAGACCAAACACTTGACACTTACTAGCTCTGTGACTCTGGGCAAGTCACTTAACCCCAATTGTCTCAACAAAAAAAAAAAGCAAAAATTTAAAAAAAAGATTTTGATTATGGCATGTCAATATAATTGGTTTCCTTTGCAATCCTATGTATTTTATTTAAAAATCTTATTCTAAGAAAGGATCCAAAGACTTTACCTGGCTGCCAGAGGGGTTCAGTTAAGATCTAGTCCAACCCCCTCACTTTACAGATGGGTAAATTGAGGCCAAGAGTGGGGACCTTATTTTCTCAAACTCACAAGTATCAGAACTGGAAATGCAAAATGTCTTTTGACTCCAGGTCCAGGCCTCTTTCCCCATCTGATGCTGATGAATCTTGGAACAGAGATAGAAACAACAGAGTTTGAAGTAGGAAACATTTCCCATTTCCAGCTACCTATCAAACATCGTGAACTAGATATCCTGCAGATGACTCTGACCCTACATGTCCAAAACTGAACTCATTTATCTTTCCCCTCCTCCTGACTTCTAGGCACCAGACACCAGACACCTGACACCAGAGGAGACGATGGTGTCAAGGGTACCACCATCCCCCTTGTCACCTAGGCTCCCAGCTAGGTGTCCTCCTCAACTCCTCACTCTCTCTCACCTCCCACATTCACTCAGTTGCCAAGTACTATCAATACTACCCTCCTAATATCTCTAGAACATACTCCCTTCTTTCCTCTGCTGCTGCCATCAGCCTAGTACAAGCCCTCATCACCTCCTGCCTGGGCTATTGCAGCAGCCTGCTGATTGGCCTGCCTGCCTCAAGGCTCCCCACTCCCTGGTTCATCCTCCATTGAGATCTGACCATGCCTTCCTCCTGTTCAATAAACTCCTATGACTCCCTATGACCTTCAGGATCAAAGAGAAAATTCTCTGTTTCTCTTTTCAAGCCGTTCATCACCTGGCCCCCTCTAGTCTTCTCACACATCACTCTGCTCCAGGGACTTGATGACCCAGTGACATTGACCTCCCTGATGTGTCTCTCACAGGACACCCCACCTCCAAACTCTGTTCTTTCACTGGCTATCCTCATGCCTGGAGAGCTCTTCCTCCTGGTTTCTCTGGCTTCCTGCAAGTCTTACCATTGTCAATAAGCCTATTCTCATTCCCTTTAAGATTATCTTCAATTAATCTTCTGTCTATAAAGATATGCATATATTACATACAATAAGCATGCGTACTACATCGAGCATGTGTACATACACACATACTATATCTACACATATCTGTATGTATACACATATAGATATCTTGTTTGCCCTGGGTTGTTTGCACATTGTCTCTCCCATTAGATGGGGGCCATCTCCAGTGGTCCTAAGACCCAGATGACTCTGGAGGAGAAAGTGAGGCTGGTGACTTTGCACAGCCCTCACTCACTTAAATCCAATTCACTTGCCAGTCATGGCATCACCTCCTCGATGTCATGGTCCTCTTCGAGAATTAAGGACAAGCAACAACAATCTCCCATTAGACTGGGAGAGACTTGAGAGCTAAATGCTCTTTTTCCTGACTAGACTTCTAGTGGTGACTGTCATTAACCATGTGACATGGAACAATTCTCTTCTTTCTGTGTGTGTCAGTTTTCACATTTGTAAAATAGGGCCACTCCCCACACCCGGGGTTGTCAGGAGGATACATGAAGTCACGTCTATGAGAGCTCTTGGTCCGAGACACAGCAGCATTTTAAGATCTAAACCTGTTCCTAGCAGTGCAAGTGTTTGAAGGAACAAACCCACCGTGTCCTGTACTGATTCCTTCCCAATCCTCAATAACCAACCGTTATTTAACAGGCTCCAAATTAGCCCATCCCCCGAAGGGAGACCTGGCTTCCTGGAGAAGGCACTCCATCATCCTTTCTGCAGGCACCATGTTGCTCTAACAGGCTGTAGAATTATTCTTTCCCTCCCTCCAGCTGCTGGTCTACTTTTGGCAACTCTGATCCAGGGCCTCTCCCTTCCCTAGCCCCCCTCCAATCCAGAAGGAGAGAAGGAGCAGTCTAAGATTTCCTTCCTTGCCCTCTGGGAGGCTGCTGGATCTCTGTGGCCAGGCTCAAACCACCTCAGTAAGGCACTGGTCCCTGAACTGAGTTGTCTCTAGGCCCATGTCAATCATCACACCAAAAGCTAACATTCATATAAGGTCAGCAAAGCACTTTCCACATATTATCTCATTAGATACAGAAGGGACCTCAGAGTCTGTCTGGCCAAAGTCCATCATTTTTAAATGAGGAAATGAAGGTTCAGAAAGGATGCCTGACTTGCCCATGGTCACATAGGTAGAAATGGTAAAGCGGGGATTTGACCCTATAAAATAATGTGTGTATTGAGTGACTGACTATATCTAGGGCTGGAAGGAACCTTGAAGCTACCTGGTTCACCCTCCTTATTGTACAGCCAAGATCTGAAGCCTTGGGAGGTTAAGGGACTTATTTTAACCAAGGTCACTTGGGTAGTAGATGTCAGAGCCAGACCTGCACCCAGCTCCTCTGACCCCAGAGTCAGTAATCTTTCCATTAGAGCACCCTGTCTGCCTTTCCTGGGTATAAGAGCCTCCCTCACATGCCTAGGGGGTGGGGGCTGGAGCTGGGACAGGGCACAGCATTCTGTGTCACCGCTGCGTTTGATTCCAGACGGAGGAAGAGAAAGAGAAGGGGGAGTTCTTACCCCAGCACAGTAATCCCCACTGATAGTGACGCGCTGAAATTCAGGCATAGCAAATGACGCAGGAGCTGCCTGGGAAGCCGCTCCTGCGGGGACTGGCTTTGGGGGCGACATGGCAGGGGTGGATGATGGTGGGCCCTTCCAGTCTTGCTGGGGTGGCATTTGCAGAGAAAGAGACTGGGATCGAATCATCTTGAAACTCTTCTTTCTAGGAGCCAATGATAAGAGAAAGCAGTTAATTAAGTCCAGGGAAAAGCTGGCCGGAGGGACAGGTTTTCTCTGCAGGGACACAGTCTTCATTAATGCTGAAGACTGGGTCATTTTGAACAGATCAATCACTGGCATTGGACTGACCATTAACAAACTGAGAATTATGGTACATATGCTAGCATGTTTCATCCTGTTGTGTGTGACACCCGGACACACTGGCAGTCCCTTCCTGGCTCCATGTCCTCTTCCATTCCAGACATTCAACAGCAACCTGGTTCAGTAATGGGTACCAACCTCTACCCAGGTGAAGCCTGTATCATCCCTCACCTGGACTCTTGTAACAGCTTCTTAACTGGTCTTCCCCCATCAAATCTCTCCCCATTCTAATCCAGCCTCCACACAGCTACCAAAATGATTTTCCAAAGACATCAACCAGACACAGTGCTAAACTTGGAGTCAGGAAGACCAGAATTCAAATTGTGCCTTGGATACTTCCTAGAAGTGGGACCTTGGGTAAGTCACTTAACCTCTTTCAGTCTCAGTTTCTTCATCTGTAAAATGAGGGGTTTGGACTAAATGGCCTTCCTTGAACTAATGGTCCCTTCCAGCACCAAATCAATGATGCTTATCATTCATCAACAGACTTTTGAGAAGGGTTTCTTGGCTCTTATTAGGAGATTCTTTTTAAGAAAAGGAAGCATGGGGGGCAGCTAGGTGGCACAGTGGATAGAGCACCGGCCCTGAAGTCAGGAGGACCTGAGTTCAAATCCGGCCTCAGACCAAACACTTGACACGTACTAGCTGTGTGACCTTGGGCAAGTCACTTAACCCCATTGCCTCACCAAAAAAAAAAAAAAAAGAAAGAAAGAAAGAAAGAAAAGGAAAAAAAAGAAAAGGAAGCATGGGAAGGCTTAAGAAAATACTAGAGGGAAAATCTCAAGACAAAGAGTCTTGGGAGCTAGGTGTGAGGCCAACCTCCACCACTTACTATCTATATGACCTTGGGGGCCAGGCTTACCCTCTTTGAGCCTCACTTACACAATTCTTGCCTATCTCCACTGACACCTTCCTCTGATGGATCATGGTGGAGTCTTTGGGTTCTCAAAGTCCTACTAATCTTCTAGAAGGGTCTTTTCATTAATGGACCATGTAAATGTTGGCCAAGGACCAGATGCTGAAAGATTCCTCACCAGAAGGTTGTCTACCAGGTGATTTTTTTTTTCCATCACAAGACCATATAAAGATTATTTACAAGGAAGGAAAAAACTGCTTGATGAAGAAATCTGTTAGTGGAGAGAATGCCCCTTCTTAGAAGGCAGCATAGTAACAATAATAATAATAACTAGCATTTGTACAGTGCTTTCCCAGTATTCTCATCTCATTTGAGATGAGAGGTTAAGTAATTTGCCCAGGGTCATACAACTAGTATATAAGGGAGCATTTGAACTCAGGTCTTCCTGACTCCCAGTCTAGCACTCCATTCACTGTGGGGGCCATCTCCAGTCATCCTGATCTATATCTTGCCACTGGACCCAGATGGCTCTTGAGAACAAAGTGAGGCTGGTGACTTTATACAGCCCTGCCTCACTTAAACCCTATTCATTTGCAAGTCATGATATCATGTTCCTGATATCAAGGTCCTCTTCAATAACTAAAGGACAAACAACAACAACAATAATAACCATTCACTGTGCTACCTAGCTGCTTCAAGGTGCATAGACCTGGGGTCAGATACTCAGCAGCTTTGTGACTCTGGACAAGTCACTTAGCCTTAGGTCCCTCATCTGTAAAATGGAGATGATAATAGTGCTTATCTCATTGGGTTATTGCGAAGCAGGGAAAGCCCTTTGCAAACCTTAAAGAATTATATAAATGCAAACTATTCTTAATACTTACAATGAAAACTCAAATCACATAGTCTTGAAACTGCTAAGGGAAAGTATCTTGTCAGCACACTGAGGGCACATAGGGTTATGGTATCTCCTTCAGTGAATGGTCAGCTGGTTTGGGTTCACACCCCAGTACTGAGCTTCCCACTGGAGCCGTGTTCAGTTCTGGGACATTCTTACCCAGAGAAATATTGGCTCCTTGACACCATTTTCTCCACATTATTCTCCACAGAATACAGAAATGCTCAGCCTGAAGCATCCAGTTGGACCTGAGGCTAGGAAGGGAGTGAAAGAAACCGCTCACCGCTGCTATGTCATCTCCTGGCCTGGCCTCTATTTTTAGAACACCTTTTTCACCGCTGCCCTAACTAGAGAAAACCATTCATTACCCACAAACATCTCTGCAGGAAGTTCAGAGACAGCACAAAAAATGAGGAGAGCTGCCCCTTGCTTCCATGAGTACATGGCCAGCGCTGAGAGAGGCAGCATCCAAGCATCGGCCATGGGAGGCCGCTCTGGCCACTCGGTTTGCTGGTACTACACCATGGCTCAGTTCTCTCTCTGTGGAAGGCAGTTCTTGCCCCAGAGGGCTCTGGACGGTTTTCTTCTGCCCCGGGGGAGCCCCAAGATGGTTTTGGCCTCCATCAATATGAATGTTAACAGTGCTAGCTGGCCGGGAAGAAGAATAGCCCCTGCCACCGCGGTCGTGGGCTCTGCACACTCTGTATATGTAGAGAAACAACTGCAGGTCTAGACTCTCGATGCTCAGCCAAGCCAAGATGTTTTCCTGGTCAGATAGCCTAGAGATTCTCCCCCAATGGAAACCAGAATCATGCAGGCGTAATACATGAGTCAAAGTCAGATGCCAGGCCTGCTATTCACTCACTGATTAACCTCAGATAAATCACTTCACCTTGAGGAGACTCAGTTTCCTTATCTGTAAAATGGGGATACAATAGCACTTACCTCAAAGGGTGGTTGTAGGCACCAAACAAGATAATGTCAGCAAAACACTTGGGAAATGCACGATTTATCCCTGTTAGCCTTACCAGACGTAGAACAAGAACAAGGACTCTTAACTGGGGGTCCATGAACTTGTTTTTGTTTGTTTACATCATGATAACTGTATTGATATAAGTGATTTTCTTTGGAATCCAATATATTTTATTTTGTGCATTAAAAATATTATTCTGAAAAAATGCTCTAAATCACTATGGATTAGAGAAATGCAAATCAAAACAACTCTGAGGTACCACATCACACCTATCAGATTGGCTAACATGACAAAACAGGACAATGATAAATGTTGGAGAAGATGTGGGAAAATTGGAACACTAATGCATTGTTGGTGGAGTTGTGAAATGATCCAACCATTTTGAAGAGCAATTTGGAACTATGCCCAAAGTGCTATAAAAATGTGAATCCCCTTTGGCAATAGCACTTCTAGGGCTGCATCCCAAAGAGATCATAAAAATGGGAAAAGGACCCACAGGTACAAAAATATTTATAGCAGCTCTTTTTGTGGTTCCAAGAATTGGAAATTGAGAGGATGCCCATCAATTGAGGAATGGCTGAACAAGTTGTGTTATATGAATGTAATGGACTACTATTGTGCTATAAGAAATGATGAGCAGGCAGACTTCAGAAAAACCTGGAAAGACTTGTATGGTCTGATGTGGAGTGAAGTGAGCAGAACCAGGAGAATGTTATATACAGTAACAGCCACATTGTGCGATGACTAATGTTGTTAGATTTTGCTCTTCTCAGCAATACAAGAATTTAAAACATCTCCAAAGGTCTCACGATGGAAAATCCTATCCACATCCAAAGAAAGAACTATGGAATCTGAATGCAGATCGAAGCATACTACTTGCTATTTTTTTCTTCTGTTTTGTTTTGTTTTCTCTTTCTGGTGGTTCCTCCAATTGGTTCTAATTCTTCCTTACAACATGACTAATGTGAAAATATGTTTAATAGGAATGTATATGTATAGCCAATATCAGATTGCATGCTGTCTTAGGGAGAGAAGTAGAGAGGAAGGGGGAGAAAAATTTTAAACTCAAAAACATATGGAAGTAATTGTTGATAAATCAAAATAAATTAATAAAAAAAATTATTCTGAGAAAAGGTCTGCCCATAGGCTTCTCTAGATTACCAGAGGAGTTACAAGCAAGGTTAAGAACCCCCAAACTAGCTAGTGTTGTGATTTAGGGTTACAAGTATGTTCAGATTGCATAACAGTTCACCCTTTGCTTTTTTCTTCCTCTTTCATCATTCTTTACTGTAAGGGATGGCTTTTTGGGAGGAGAGATTAGACAGAGAGCTTCCCTGAGGGCAAGAATTATCTTTTGCCTCTTTTTGTATCCCCAATTTAGCCCAGTGCCTGGCACGTGTTAGGCCTTAACAAATGTTTACTGATACTTGAATGAATGAGTAAATTGGGGAACAGAAGCAGTTGGAAATATGGATGACTTAAAAACAAAAGATTTCAACAAAAATTTATTTTCTTAAAAGTGTGCCATTTGGGAGCCACAGCCAATATGTTTTGCTTAAATAGTCATATTTATAACAAGAGTTTTGTTTTTCCTTTTTTTTCCCCCAAGGGGTGAGGGTAGAGAAAATGAATGCCAATTGAAAAAATTAAATTTAATGTTAAACCATGTCTAAGTGTGTTCAGATCCCAGTTATGAGCACTGATGGAGAAGAGGATTTATAGCTCCCTCCCATCTCCTCCCTTTCTGCCAGGTAAGGAAATCTACAGCTGGGGGACAGATCCAACCTGGGCCTGATTTCACCTGGTTTGTATTCTGGTCAATGCTGCTACATACGGCATGTAGACTAATATCCTCCAGATAGCCATTATGGCTTCAACAAACCAAGGGCATGAACCAAAGTTCAGAGTAGTTGAACAACAACTCATCATTTCAACTGGCAACAACGTAAGGCCATAAGCCACTCTGAATCCACAGTGTTTAAAAATGTATTTATTACACACCTACTATATGTGTGCCAAATACTATCTATACTAGGTGCAGGGGATACAAAAGCAAAAATCAGACAGTGCCTACCCTCAAGGAGTTTATATTGCATAGTCCAAGTGAACAGCTAT